CACTTTATAGCCAAAAGAAAAAAAAAAAAAAAAAAAACTCATCATTTCTCTTTTCTCTCTTCTCTCTTAATTCATATACAGATACCTTAATACCATACATAAATATATATATATATATATATATATATATATGGATCCCATTTAGACGGACAGACTTCTCTTTTGTGAATTACCGGCTGAGGTCTCTGCAGGCAACAATCCGAGTTGTTTCCGCAATAAACGCCTGGCGCCCATCGTGTAGGCGTCGAGTGTAATGCAGCCCAACTGCTGAATGTCGACTTTGCGAAAACTGTTTTGGATCTTCTCTTCACTCGGCGCCTCCCCGCCCAACTCCGCAAAGACCTGCAGCATACTGTTGCGGAAGTCCTCGTAGGTGAGACGCCCACGATCCTCCGCATCATACCGGCGGAAGTGTTCACGGCACAACTGCGCAAACCGCTTTTCATCCCGCAGACTCTGCGAGAGAAGCATTTCCTTCACACTCACACCAAAGATGTTTTGTTTGAGTTGAATACAATCATTTAAACGGGCGAGATTAAGAGAAGCCGGGAGAACATGACGTTCCTGCAGGGCACTCACCACCAACTCCGTAGCCACATTTCCCGTGAGTTCATTATTCTTCGCAAACGGACAACCGCCCATTCCCCCAAGTGCACTGTCCAACATTCTGCAATTCGCATCTAAAGCCGCAAACACCTTTTCCTTCGCCTTTGCAGTGTTGCTGTGAAAGTGCGCACCAAACATGATATCAGGGAACTTCCGCTTTAATCGTGTGAAGGTGTCAAAGATGATATTCGGCTCCGAGACGCCAACAGTGTCGGCAAGACTGATGGTGCGCACACCAATGGAGATAAGTTCACCCGCAAGTCGTTCTACCACATTTACATCATGGGACTCACCGTATGGATTACCAAACGCCATGGAAAGATAAACCACAAGATCTTTTTCTTTCACCAACTCTAACCGGGATGCATATTGAGATTTAAGATTTTTATTGGAAACCTCAATAGCTGTATACATCTCTTTAATTTCCTCAAGTGACTGAGCAATACTCTTTTTCGTATTTAATTGCTGGAAACGTTCATTGCATGAAAGTGGAAATCCAATAGTACTTATAATAGGAGTCTCAATAGCCCGTTTTAATCCTGGAAGGGACGCAATCACTACAGAGAGTTTAGAGGCATTTTCACCAGAAAGAAGTGTACGATCGCAACCAGCAAGCACTTCCGCACTATCACGCATTTGTGGTACGGCGCGTGGGGATACAAATGAGGCACAATCAACTGCATAGAATCCACACTTTAATAATGCATTTAAATAACGAATTTTTTGTTCAGTTGGAATAAAATGTGTAATTCCCTGCATCGCATCTCGTGGACACTCTATCAGACGAATAGGAGAGAGAAAGATTTTTGAAGAAAATATCATTATTCTTTTACACTTTTTTTTTTCTTTCTGTGTTTTTTTTTTTTTTTTTCAATTACTTTCCTGGGTTAAACTCCTGCTACACTTGGGGTTTTTGTTTGATTCTTTGCTTATTCCTTCCTTCTTTTTTTCTTTTTTTTTTTCTAAATGAGGAGTTGAACACAGTCGTGCCGGTCAGTCTCCTTCTCCCTCTCTCTGTGTGTACGTATGTGATATAGATGCAGTTAGCTGTTGCTTCTTGCAATGAGGCTTTATATATATATGGATTTTAATTAAAAGAACAAAGAGAGAGAGAGAGAGAGAGAGAGAGAGAAAGAGTTGTTGAAACACAGACGAAGAAAGGTAAAAAAAGAGAAAAAAAAAGAAAAAATAATCATAACATTGATTCCAATAAAAGATAGAAACAAAAATTACACACACAGACACATATATGTATATACAGAGAATGAGAGAGCCATACATATATATGTACAGAGTAGGAAAAGCACACAAATAAAACAACAACAACAACAAAAGAAATAAAGAAGAAGGAACTAGTGTACACATTTACACAGGATTGGGTACTTACCAGCGGAAGGAGAAACTAAATCATTATTCCGTTTGAATATAATTAAATAAAGGGAGAAAGAAGATGAACTTTTCAACTTCCCATTCTTTTTTCTTTCTTTTTTTTTTCTTATCCTTCACACTTACACCACTCTTACCTTTGGTTCTTTCTTTATTTCAATCTTACTCGTTATTACTATTATTATTTCTTCCTTTCTCTTATTTCTTTATTTCCAACCTTTTTTTTTTGTATTTTCTCTCCTTCACACATTAATTTTCCTTTTGTTTTTTGATTGATCTTTTGCATTTAAACGCCTCTCCATTGCTATCTTCACTTTCCACTGTGGAGGTACACAGACATATATATATATATATATATAGATGTATCTCAGGGCAACGATACACTTCTTCTGTAGTGGTATCTTCTCTCTCTCTCTCATGATACCTCTTTTTATTTTTTTTATTTTTCTTTTTCCTTTTCCCTCCACAGTAGTAGAAATAGCAATAATGAATTAATAATTAATTAAGAATAAGTAAATAATAACAACAACAACAATAATAATAACGACCACTATTAATAATAATAACAATAAAAGAAAAAAAAAAGTCAACAACAAAAAAGAGATAAGAGATTATCGAAACCCAATTCAATGAACTGGTAGATGGCAACAAGAAAGCACATAGTGCATTGCAAAAAGCGAAAAACAAAAAAAAAATCGCACACGATGAGAAAAGAGAAAAAAAAAGCAAATCTCTCTCATTCCCCTCTAAAAGAGAGAGAGAAAGAAAGAAAAAAGAAACGGAAATAAAAGCAGTCAAGATGTAGATCCTGCAATAATCCCATTCTTGTACTTTACAAGCAGATAAACATCACTATATATATATATAGGTGTATATGTTGTTGTTCTCTTCTTCTCTTTCTTCTTCCTATTTTCTTTTTTATTCCCATTTCTTCGTATACTTGCTCACTTAACATTCGTGGAAAAAGGAATGAAGAATAATAGGAGCAACTAGACAAGAAACATATCATACACAGAGTAGAATAAATAATAAAATAAATAAAAAAAAATTGTGTGAGTCATAAGAGTAGAAATACGTCAACCTTATCATCCTCTTCCTCTTCCTTCTTCTCATCATCATCATTACGGCTTACGAGCACTATACAGTTCCATAACGTTATCTGCATCGTCGTTCAAAAATCGTTGTCGAAGGAATTGGGCATATGCATCCTCATTGTGAACTACCAATTGACCATCTATAGACTTCTCTGCGAGAACAGGCGGCAATTCCCCCTTCTCGAGATTGGCAAACACATTATTATTATACAACGTCGCCGAGTCTACCCAGGTAAGATATTCACTAAAGTTTTCTGCAAAGAGACGAAAGGATCGTAATTGTATGGGAATAGGTACACCTCTACCTGTAGAGAACATGCGAAGAATCCCACGAGGTACCGCAATCTCTGGTTCCACAGTAATTGCGAGTAATCGAATTTCATACGGTTTAGGCAGTGGAGTTTCTCGCGGTCCGACTGGTCTAAAGTATTCTTCAATCGCCCCATTATTTTTATATCCCATCCCTTGACTATATAAAGTGGTATGTGCATGGCGAACCATTTCAATAACTTGTTTAACAAATGGACGCCACATCATAGTTCCATCAAAGACAATACTTCTTCCTTGATTGACGGCCTTTACCATTAATTTCTCCGCCGCGTAGGCACTACTTTCATGCATGCCTTTTATTCCCTGCGACCATGGAGTGGTGGCGACTTTGAAGTCATCGGCATTCACCAAAACACTATTCGCCTTGTGTTTCTCCCACCAACTACTGCGGGAGAGGGCCGTTGCGGCTGTACTCTTTCCAGCAGCCATTCCACCGCCGAGAAAAATAAACACCGGCGCATCCTCACGAGAAGAGGCGGTATTATTCGCAGAGGAATACTGAAGATGACGAAGCATCACAACAGCAGATATAAACTCACGATATTTTTTAAATTTCGCCTCTTCACGGAGAACATTAATATAATTTACAGATGCATGATCATTTTTTTCTGATCGAGGTGTATTTACCCCTTTACTATTTACCCATTCCACTAGTGATTTTGTAGTTAATTCACTATTTGCAGGATAAACACGGTGAAGTCCACGTTCTATTATACTTGTTAACTCTTCTTCTTCTTGTGATGAATCTTGTAAAGTTAACGAAAGTGAATTTTCTCCGGGATCTGAACATGTGGGAGAATAAAATGTTAATGGTGTTTCCGCAGATACAGATACAGATGCAGTTGAAGTTCCATTCACTTGAACACGACGATTACCATTCATCAAAGATCCCTCACTTTTGAATTCCGCTAACAACGTGGAGGATTTATCAGACGGCTCTATTGATAAGAGTTGTCCTCCCCCTTCCTTCTTGGAATCTGTATTATTATTACTACTATGTTTATTATCTTCGGTTAATGGAGGTACGTAAATAATTGTTGGAAACCAAGATATATTGTACATATTAGTAAGTTCTGGTTCAGCAACGGAATGTACAATACATACATTTGGCTCTGGATTTAGTAACTTATCGCTAATTATTTCTTTAAATAAAGAAAGAGTTTCACAACTCTTCTTTGAATATTTAGCATGAAATATAAGTACTAAACCATTAGGTGAACTTCGCATCCATTCTAATAAATTTCCAAGTGTTGCAAAACTAAGTTTTGCTTTTCTACGTATATTATTACCATCACTATCTTCATATATTGGAACAACACTACTCATACTATTTGTACTCATAAAAGTATCCATCATAGCAACAGTAGGTATGGTAGGAGATGATCGTAATTGTAATATAGCTTCACATTCTCCATGACTAGGTTCAGGGGCATCTACACTAGTTTCAATACACAAGGGTAAAAGTTCCTTCTGAACATACAATACATATTCCTTATTAATACGTATCACATCTTGTATTCGATGCCAATTCCATGAAAAGTACATTGGAACTAATGTATTAACAAGTCGAAGAAAGTGTTCCACACAGGCATCTGGATCACATAGTTTAGGTGTATTGGATAAATCACTAATACTATCTGTAGAGGCACAATAACAAGAAGCGAGACTTCGTGTTCGTCGAGCTCTACTTCGTATGTGTGCAAGAATCTTCGCACGATCCATTGAGAATCGAATGGCCCACTTATGGCATAAACTACGCAATAATTCGGGATCTGAGCGTGTGAGGAAAAGCATTGTGCAGCAGGCGGCGAGTTTAGAGACAAACATATCCATTGGGAGTTCTAATGAAATGAGAACATATTCAATGAATGGAAGCCATGCTGGGGGCTGAGACATTTACTGTATCTTTCTTTCTTTCTTTCCTTTTTTTTTCTCTCTTTCTTGTATTTTATTTGTGATGATCTCGTTTTTATTTCTGCTTTTTATTGTTTGTTTGTTTTAGTTCTTTTGTTTCGTGCGTTCCTTTCTTTATTATTATTATTATTTTATTATTTTAATTATTTCCTTTCTTTTTTTTTTTTTTTTTAACTTACCTCTTCTTCTTTTTCTTCTTGTTGTTTTAATTGATCTGGTGGTTCTCGCTACTTTTTCCCTTCTCCTTTAATGGTAAAGGATTAGAGTTTTATTTTTTCTTTTGTTTTATTTTTATTTCTTCTGTTTCTTTTTCAGCTCGAAGAGAACCGTAAAAAGATAAAAAAAAGAGAAAAATGAGAATAGAAAAATTATATAATCATACAAAGAGTCCATTATTACATAACCCGTTAACGTACACACACACAAGGATAGAAAGAAAGAGAGATAAGGGATATATATATACTTACGATTCATATATATATATTAACGATACACAAAGGAAACAATAAACTAAAATAAATAATAGTAAAAAAAGAAATCAAAAAAAAAA